GGGGTGTTCGAATCATCAAGTACGTCAGTTGAAAGGTGACAGGATTTTCCCGCCAAACGAGCCAATTTCTCCTAACATTATCTCAGTTAGCTCAAAATTAGTTCAATATTGTGTTCCCAAGTCCCCAAATGTCAGGATTTAAAAAACGAAATTTATGGTGATAATTTGACGGTTTAAAATTCGTTTCTGTTTAATTTTCCCGAAATTGAGGGACCTGGAATCGTAATATTGAACTAATTTTGTACTTACTGAGATAATGTTGCAGCAAAGTTAGGAGTTATTGGCTCATTTCGCAGGGAATTTGGTGAGTTTCCCTGTTTTATTTTTACTTTACGAAAATTTGAACCGGAGTTATGATTTTTTGAACATGGTCAAAATTTGAACTTTGACCTATCATAACGTGGTAAAAAGGATGATATTGATCTGCGGTTTGGGCCGAAATTCTTAATTTTTAATGTGCTTTCCAATGATGAATCACAAGATACGGGTTACCATTTGAAAAAATAAAGTTGGGCCCCCACCCCCCTCCTGAGGGAGAAACTATAACCCCCCTCCTATTTCAGATAAAATGATTCCCCAACTTTCATTTTTCTATCTCAAACAACTCAAAAGGTACAGGAGGGGAGCGGAACTTTAGGAAGACCCTGTACTTATATACAGGGTGTTCGTAAAGTCCCCCCCCCTCTAACTTTTGACCTAATTGAAGTAGAGATTTGAAACTTGGAGGGTGTTCCTAGATCAAAGGGAGCTACTTTTTGACCCCCCCCCAAAATTTTGGGGGGCGTCCCCTTGGGGGGGTTACGGACCCTAACTTTTTTTTTCAAATGGGAAGACCCCCTTTGTGATACTTCGTTGGAAAGAGCATAAAAAAAGAAATTTTTTCGCGCAAACCCGAAGTCATTATCTTAAGCCGTTCCAAAATGGCGGCCGGTTAAAGTTCAAATGGCCGAAAATTGGCATCTCGGCTATTTGCACATGGATTTGTTTAAAACTCGGTATCTGGGGGTATTTTTGCACGAGAAAAACGAATTTGACGTTAGATTTTTAAAAAACCCTAATTTTTCAAAATGGCGGCCGGTTAAGGTCCAAAATGGCCGAAAATTGACAAACTTGATTTTTTTGCCGATGGATTCGCCTGAAATTTGATACCTGGGGGTATTTTTGGCACGAGAAGAACGAATTTGACGTTACAACTCAAGTTTGTCACTTTTCGGCCATTTTGGACCTTAACCGGCCGCCATTTTGAAAAATTAGGGTTTTTTTAAAAATCTAACGTCAAATTCGTTTTTCTCGTGCAAAAATACCCCCAGATACCGAGTTTCAAACAAATCCATGTGCAAATAGCCGAGATGCCAATTTTCGGCCATTTGAACTTTAACCGGCCGCCATTTTGGAACGGCTTAAGATAATGACTTCGGGTTTGCGCGAAAAAATTTCTTTTTTTATGCTCTTTCGAACGAGGTACCTATCACAAAGGGGGTCTTCCCATTTGAAAAAAAAAAGTTAGGGTCCGTAACCCCCCCCCCCCAAGGGGGAGCCTTCAAAATTTTGGGGGGGTCAAAAAGTAGCTCCCTTTGATCTAGGAACACCCTCCAAGTTTCAAATCTCTACCTCAATTAGGTCAAAAGTTAGAGGGGGGGAGGGGACTTTACGAACACCCTGTATGTACAAAGCTGAGGTTTCAAGCCCACAAGTTCAAAATATCCATCAATATTTTTGATGAATCTTATGCATTTTTTATTTTTACGCACATCTTCTCCGTATTCCCGGAAAAGCTGTCGGATTCGTTGTAGGTAATAGGGCATAACAACGAGGTTGCACGGGAAAACCGTAATTTTCGAGAATTTTCAAGTTAAGAACGGATTTTTTTCCTCGGAACATATTGCTTTGAGTGGTGGGTACGAATATCCGCGCACAAGTCATGTGGACATCACTTCAGTTTTCCCGGAAAAGCCCTCATATATACCTTAGCCGATACGGTTTTTGTATGAAGGTGACGTCGGAAAATCGTGAATCAGCCCACAATTTTCTCGTTAACAACGGGCTTTTTTCTTTCGAGGGTAGTGCCAGGTTCAATATCTACTTTTGTCTGTGCAAAAATTATATGCACATCACCTTAGTTTTCCCGGAAAAGCTCTGGGATTTGAAGTAGGTGATAGGTTATGGGTATGAAGGTTGATCGGGAAATTTAGAATTTTCTCGAGAATTTCCACGCTACCAACGAATTTTTCTTTCCGAGAATATAGCTTCAAGTGGTGGGTAGGAATATCCGCGCACTAATCTTATGCACATCACCTTAGTTATCCCGGAAAAGCTCTTTCATACGTTGTAGGATATGGGGATTGATATGAAGGTTCCGCCTCGGGAAATCTCGAATTTTCTCGAGAAATTTCACGATAACCACGAATTTTTTTCCTGTGAGGATATTGCTTTGAGTGGTGGGTATGAATATCCGCGCACAAATCATATGCACATCGCCTAAGTTTCCACGGAAAAAGCTGTCGGATTCGTTGTAGGTAATAAGGGATTGATACGAGATTGCTCGGGAAAACCGTAATTTTCTCAAGAATTTTCACGTTAAGAACGGATTTTTTTCCTCGAAGCATATTGCTTTGAGTGGTGGGTACGAATATCCGCACAAAATTATATGCACATCACCTAAGTTTCCACGGAAAAAGCTGTCGGATTCGTTGTAGGTAATAAGGGATTGATACGAGATTGCTCGGGAAAACCGTAATTTTCTCAAGAATTTTCATGTTAACCACGAATTNCCTTAAGGCCTTAACTCGTCTCGGGTTCTCAATACCAGGAGAAATCTTGTGAGACAAAAAAATGAAAAAAAATTAATAAAAAAAATAGTATAATAATAATAATAGTATGATAATAATATCACCCAATATTTGCTCGGTGGCGTAGTCCAGAATAGTCAGAATATGAATGAATATTTGGATGAAGGAAGAGTATGTGAGTTAGCAGAAGAAGTTAGAACCCTGAATCGAACGCCCATTCAAGATCCCAGGTGGCCATACCGGACCCATAGAGAAAAAAAAGGAGGTGTTTGCATTTCGGGCATCTTGGAATTTTTTGACGACTTTATGACGTAGGTCGTCACAGCGACGTTCAGCGTGAAGGGGACGTCGCTACGTCATCAAGTCATCAAAAAATTCCAAGATGCCCGAAATGCAAACACCTCCTTTTCTTTCTCTATGTACCGGACCTAGTGTGCGGCGGAGCACTGTAACCGGGTAGTGGGACCATTGTAGTTGAGGCCCGTTGTAGCTATCTTTAGTCCAGTGGTGTTATGCTATTTTGTGGGTATAACACACCGATATGATCTTTGGTTACAGAGTTGCGTTAATAAGGAAATTGACAGGGTGAATAGGGAGGTTGCTAAGAGTATGGTTAGGGAGAGGGGAGTGTATTTGAATCTAAATTGTTTGACTTCGGATGACTTCAAGATTACTAAGTATGGGCATATCATGAAAAGGGTTCGGTGGACAAAATGATTTTCTACAAGGGAGTGAGGGAGTTTGATAAATTTAAGTGTTATAAATTAGAAGAGCTGGGGTTGGGTGCATTCAAGAGGAACTTGCTATTCAAATTGAGGGTGTACCTATCAAAATGAGAAATGGGGAGATGGTAGATTGTTAAGGGAGGTTGATAGGAAGTTAATCTAATCAAAGGTAAGATAGGCA